AGTTTTCTTCAGATACATGCAGAGTGAGATTGAAGGATCATATGGTATTTAGATTTAATTAACTTTTACCATTTCTTTGTTACTGTTCTTCTTTACTTTTCAGTTCTTTCTGAAATAATTTTCCTTTTGCCTGTAATGAATCCTTTGGAATTTCCATTAGGGAGGGTTTGTTGACGGTAAATCTTTTATATGTGAAAATGTGTTTTGCCCTATGCTTGAAAGATGGTTTTCTAGGTACAGAGTTCTGTTATTTGTTCTGTTTCCTACCAGCTTTCAAAGTTATTGCTAAGAAGTCAGTTGTCTTACAATGATCTGACTCTTCCCTGTGCCTGTTTTTAAGACCTTCTCTGTGTCTTTAGTATTTTGCAGTTTCACCTTAGTTAAGTTCATGTGTGGATTTTATTTATATAGTCTGGGATTTATAGGGAAGCTTGGATCTGAGAATGGGTGTTTCAGTAGTGCTAGAACTATGCAGTTCATTACAACTTTCTGTGATGATAGAAATGTTCTACGTTTGTGCAGTCCCATGTGGTAGCCAGCTGCCACACGTGGCTAACGAGAACTTGAAGTGTGGTTAATGTGACTGAGGAACTGTGTTTTAAGTTTTAAATAGTCACATGTTGTTAATGGCTGTCATAGTAAGAAGTGCAGTTGTAGAAAATTCCCAGTGTTTGTATTTCATAAATATTGCTTTTTCCCCATTCTCTCTTTCTGGAACCCTAATTAGCATGAAAAGATCCAACACACATCTAATTTCCTAACTCTCAATCTATCATGTTTTCTTTGTGCTGCATTCTAGATAATTTCTTTGTCTCTTACCTGCAGTTTACTATTCTTTAGTTGGACGTAATCTGCTCTCTTACCAATTTAATTTTCCATTATATTCTATTTTTAGAAATTATATTATTTGGTTGTTTCAAATCTGCTTGATCATTGTTTATAGTCTCTCATTGCTTATATTTTTAAGCTTTTCTTAAGTATATTAAACATTTATTGTTTGTGTCTGTTAATTCTAGTATCTGCAGTTCAATTCAGCTCTCTGTTTTTGCTCATTCTCACTCATGGTTCCTTGTTTTCTTGTGTGTTTTGTGATTTTATTTTCTTTCCTTCTCTGAGTTGCTCATTTTCCTGGGGACTTCAACTGAGGGTTTTGATACCTAAATCAAAGTTATATTCTTCCAGAGAGAATTTGTGTTTGCTTATGCCAGTCTCTTGGGTACACTGTACTCTTGGGGTCACTTTAATTCCTGGCTTAACGTTTTTCCAGCCAATCTCTGTGGCATTAGTAGGACCTCGGATCTCAGGTGAAATCTCCCTTATTCCTCTATTCTGGGTCAATAATAGGACAAGTTTCTTTGCTATTCCCTTTTGCACAGCAGGTTCTTTTTCCTTTGTTGAGCTCCTTTTGGGGATCCCAGCTTTGAGCTTAGTACTAAAGTCTTCATCTCTCACCTCCTGCCTCCCCAGCACAGGCTGCAGAGTACAGACCCAGACTCAAGCTCTCCAGGCTTGGAGGAGACTCCTAGGGAGGAATCCTATCTCAGAACATTTTTCTCCCAGGGTTTCTTAGTTTCTCTAGGTCCTTTCCTTTTGTGCTGACTCAGCAGTGTGTTTTAAAAGGTGTTTAATTGTGTGTGCACACATGTCTTTTGCATTTAGTGTTTTATTCAGCACTAGAGTTTCAGTCTGCTGGTAACTCGTGATATCAGCCAGTCATGCGTGCCAAAACAAGATCCAAGTCAGAGCATGTTTTTTTCTTCTTTCCTTCTTTTAGGGGGAGGTAATTAAGTTTACTTATTTAAGTTTCTTTTTTTTTTAATGGAGGTACTGAGAATTGAACCTAGGACTTCATGCGTGCTAAGCATGCGCTCTACCACTGAGCTATACCCTACCCCTCCCCAGAGCATCTTTATAATAGTTAGTAAAGTGAAGGGATGGGCTATCTACACAAAGTGTGATCTGTTCTTTGGAGGGAAAAAGGTGAAAAAGCACAGTTGTTAAGCATTTTTGTTGAAACTAAACCCTAAGCCATAAAAGTAACAGACTGTGGGCAGTTCACTTTCCAGTTCTTTTCTTTTTCCTCCCCTCGATTATCAAAGACACATGATAGATTTAGCCCATCTTATTCATTTTTAGGTGTCGTAAGTACAGTGCTTGCGGATGTTATTCAGTATGACTCAGTTCTTCTAAGCTATTTTTAGTCTCTGCAAACGGAGTCATATAGTAAGTAATATTACCTGCAGAGGCAGGATTCAGAAGTCACCTGTTTGTGTTTGCTCATTAAGTCAGAGACAGATAACTTTAGATATAAGTTAAAGAGGTGAAAAATGCACTTTGTTCTGGGAACTGTCCTCCATCATGAGTCACTGACTCCTTCATTTGGACTTCAGTTGAGCTCAGTGCCGGATCCTCTGCTCCTGTTGCGGTGTCAGTCTGAAAGGCCTTGTCCTTGGCCCAAAGCTGAAATGTCCTAGAGGAGGGCGGGCTTCCTGCAGGGCACAGGGTTGCTCCTGCCCCAGTTTCGCAAGCCAGCAAGGCTTTCCAAGGAGCTGAGTCCTGAAATGTCTATTTTTTTCTTTAATTTATTGAGTGAACTTTAACTCTTATTCTGTCACATCAGTCATTTAACAAGTACTTACGTAGTACGTCTTGACAGTCTGCAAGTCCAGACTTTGTTGCATAGGATCCCCGATAATCAGTTAAACAGACATTTCAGTGTCTACTATGTGCCCTCTTATGCTGGAAGCAAGGATAAGCTTTGGATCCTTGCCTAGGAGAGTAGACATTCAAAAATTGATGAACTATTTAAAATGTACCAGTTAAAATGCCAGTTTCAATGTATTTCTAATGCAAATTCATAGAAGAGGGCTTAAAAATATAGATATGTGTGCTAATAGTAGTTATTTATCTCACACATAGGAACTTTGTTTTCATCTTTCAGCCTGTTTTGTGTTCTCAAGCTTTTGAGTAGTGAATATTGCTTTTGTAATAAGGAAGAAAACAAGTTAATTTTTTTTAAAACTTGAAAGCTTATTGTCATTAACCAGGCCTCTAAAGCAGATTCCCAGATTTATCCACCTTCTGTTAATTTGTTTTGAATTATGCTAAGATAAAAAAAAAGTTTAAATTAATGCTTATACATAGTAAATGGCACTTCAATAGAAAAATGCTGATGCATTCAGTACTACAAATAGAAACTTAAAATTTATTTTACTTCCTTAAGCACCGTATTTACTTCTTCCAAAGAAGAAAAAGTATGTTTTTTTAATTTTTTTTACTTTTAAAAATAACTGAAAACTTTCTGAACAACTAGCACTGAACCTGACGTACAAGTTGCTCTTTGTGTATTTGACCGGACTGTGCTCTTCCCTCAGGAGCTTGAGGACTCCTGTGAGAGTCAGCAGCAGACCATCACCTCTACTCTCCCCACCTTCATCAGATTTCAGAGTCAAGAACTGAATTTTCAGATTTCACAGCCTCTTTGTTGATGTGTCAGACTTTGTCTCGTGGTTGCTTCTACCGAAAAGTAAAGTATATTCTATTTCTTGTAACCAAAAAACCTAGAAAATCAGTAGACTCTAGACTCCTGAGATCTGTAGTTACATCAGATTGATCTGTCTTAATCATTTAAAGTCAAAATGATACCAAAAAATCTGGGGATTGTTTTTTAAATTGTAATATTTAAAGCTACTTCTGGCTCTAGCCTTTACTATTATATCTACAGTAGTTAAAAACCCACTCTCCTTTTTGGTAAGTAAAAATATCCCATGCTCTTCCTGTGCTTTGTATTACAAAAGTGAAGTGTGGTTTTCTAAAATGCAAGTATTAAATATTTTCCCCAAAACTCCCCTCTTCTCTGACCCGTTAGGAATGCCTGCTATAAAGAAGATTATGGCAGTGGTAATAAGCTTCCATCTAAGAGAGAAATCGAACTCTTAGTGAAGTGCAGAAATATTTTATAGTGGTGATCATGTTCCCCGAGTTTTGGGCACTAAAGGTCGAGCTGTGGTACCCTCCCTGGCTGCATCACAGTCCCCCACCTGGAGAGCTTGTTAAATCACAAGCTGCTTGTGTGATTTCTGAGCGTCTAATTCAGGAGGTGGGGCCAGAACATGCATTTCTACCCATTCCAAGGTGATGCTGATGCTGCTGGTCTGGGGACCACAGTTTGAGAACCAATGTTGTAAAAGATGGAGAGAGGAAGAAAGGACCTGGGTTCTGTCCTTGATTCATCTCTAGAATCTGTGGACTATAAAATGTGTGGGCTCTAGCAGACTGTGCAGTGAATACTTGTTTCTTGCTTAAGTATTCTTCTGAGTTCAAGTGATGCTAAAAACTAAAAATTTAGTATTCTCAAAAACTGTTTAGTTTCTCATCAGATTGTGGTTTTCAATAACTTTTCAGTATTTTATTGATTGGTTATTTGATTGTATTATATGCAAAATGACACAATCTGTTAGGGTCTCTGATTTTTATGGTAGTGAGGTGACCATAGCTGGTTGTTACTTTTCCTGTTGCCTTTTGGTTAGCCAGAAAACATGTCGTACAATTTTGAATATCACTATGTTTTACAGCACTCAGTCACTTTATTTGCTTTGTATTACATATTCCTAAAGTGATTGTATAATGAGAACAATTTTTAATTCACTAGGAGGGATTACCATGTAAAAGAATCCTGTCTTTTGATTATTATGGTCATCTGTGATATTTGTATAAATCCAGTTTTTTATCTTACCTGTGTGGTACGCACCTGTACTTAATTTTGATGAATTTAAATTTCACCAGATTCAACCTTCCTGTTTGCCTACTTAGACGCCTCAAAGAAATAAAATAACAAATTTTTTTAAAGCCAGAGAAAAGAATGAGTGTAGTCCGTTAACAAGAAAAACCTACCTTTGAATGACTAAGTTGGTCTAGGACTCATATGTGTGCAGGCAAGGCTGTGCTTTAGAAAATGGCCTGTGATTGAGAGGCTGTCCGTGTTCATGTAACCTGCCTAGGTGCTGTCAGTAAGAATTGACGTGTGGTAGACACCGACAGGTATATATAGTGGATAAACAAGTTTATACTGTATAGCTTAGGGAAATAAATTCAAGATCTTGTAGTAGCTCATGTTGAAAAAGAATATGAAAATGAATATATGTATATTCATGTACGACTGAAAAATTGTGCTGTACACCAGAAATTGACACAACATTGTAAACTGACTATAATTCAATTTTTAAAAATCACAAAAAGAGGTAAAAATATTAATAAAAAATTTTTAAAAAGAATTAACTTGTGTCTATTTCAGAATAGTGCAGAAAAATATTGTGAAATCCTTGTTGGCATTTACACCATTCAAAGTCTTTTTGCTGGTCCATAAGCAGTATACACTGTTAGTTATGGAAGGAATACATTTAATTTTCACAGTCTGTGAATATCAAGGGATATTTACAGGAAATGTGAAGTGTGCTTCCCCAAATCAAAAACATGTTTTTTTCATTCAACAGCCTCTCTCCAGAACTTATAAATACTGTAAGTGAACAATGTGTGCACATTTCCATACTCCCAAAGAATGTACAGTCCAATGGGGGAAACAGGTACTTTAATCTCTTAGTTAGGAGTTCTCTTTGCTGTGGTGGAAGTTCTGCAGTGTCCAGCAATGGCACGGAATCTAGAGTCAGGAGACCCTTTGGTCTGTCTTCCTGTATTCACTGTGATTGGAAACTTGAGAATAAAAATGAGTTTATGTCAATAAAGAGGTCACAGTTCAAAATTTTTATGTAAAAATAAAAACTGGTTAACTATTCTTGAAGCAGGAAAACGGATGTGGGGTGTCAGGAGGGCTGTGTACCAGGTCTCGGTTGAGCCCCTGGGACGTGCCCCACCAAGTGTGGGTCCTTGGCTTCGCGCAGAAAAGGATTCAAGTGCGAGCCACCATTGAGTAAAGGTAGATTTATTTAGAGAGATACACACTGCATAGAGTGTAAGGCAAGAGAAAGGCAAGGAAAGAGGTGTGGGAACCGGGTGCTCACGTTAAAGTAAAAGCAGGTACACATTCCATGGACAGAGTGCGGGCCATCTCCAAAGGGGAGGGAGCGAAAAGGGCCACTAGGCTTGGTGTTGTCACTTTTTATGGTCTCAGTAGCTTCACACACCTACAGGTGGGTTCAATCAACTAGCTTCACACACCTACAGGTGGGTTCAATCAACTGCCATGGGGAAGGGGCTGGGGTTCCCAGGGATTGGGCCACGGCCCATTCTTTGGCCTTTTGCAGTTAGCCTTGGGGCTGTCATGGCGCCTGCAGGCATCTTATTTGATCATGCTGTTACAATGAGCATATAATGAAGCTCAAGGTCTATTAGAAGTCAAACCTCTTAATCTTCAAGGCCAACTAGGAGGTGAATCTTCCACCATTTTGGTGTTAAATTGCTGTCATTCCTTGAGTGGCTGTGCCCTGCCCCCTGCTCTCCTGCCTCACTCTGACACACATCAGTCAGTGTAGAAGCTCAGCTCTCTGGGTGAGGTGGTGAGGGAATAGTGTGACGTAAGTGAGGACGCATTTAGTCTCAGGTCTTACAAACAGTTCACAGTGACTGCCCTTGCAGGACAGAAAGTACACTTCAGAGAAGGCATACATTTCCTGTCTCCCTAGTTGTGATCTAAAATTTTGTCTAGGACTAGTCACACCGAGGCACTTTTGGGAACCAGTGAACAACACGTGTCATGCAGGTATTCTGATTCTGTGGCACGGCTGGTTCTAAATCCCTGTGGCCTTGGACGCAGTGTCTTGGAATGGTTAAAACAGGCCTGCTCCTTTGATTTCCATGTTAGCAGTTCAGTTAAAATATTTGGAGTGTTTCGTTGCCTGGTTTGCAACACCCAGAGTTTATTCTAGATTGGGGATGCCCAGCTGATGAGTTTTCAAGGGATCTTTCAGTCTAAATGAGCAAACACTGTTATAGACTGTGTGTCTTCAAATTTGCAGTACTTTTAAAAAAATATGTAGATTATGTTAGTAATGAAATATGGATCCATTTGAAAATGCTGATGCCTTTACAATACCTCTTTGGCATCATTTCTCAGTGAATTGTACTTTTCTGTATTCACTGTTGTTTGTACAGTGATGTCTGTCTGCAATGAGCTGACTTTGGGGTGGTTGGCATTCCTTTAAGATTCAGGTCAGCTCTTAGATGAAAGCCCATCTCCCTTGTTTCTGTTTATTTGCTTTGAATTTTATGTCTAGAAGAGAAATATTGTCGCGTGTTCTGTTAGAGATGCAAAGAGTGAATAATACCAGTTCTCTGTGATTATGAAATTTATGTATTTCAGTGCAGGAGTGGTGATGTAGCATAGAGATTAGGAGTCTGGGTTCAAATCCCAATCAGATCCAGCTACGTTAATTTGGAAATTACTGCTTCAGCTTCCTCATCTGTAAAATTCAAGTAATAACATGAACTTGGTTGTGAATGCCATTGCACAGTCCAGACAGGGGGGAAAAACAACTTCATTTTTCTGTAGTAATTTACAACAAATTATGTCCACATCCTCCTTGGTGAAGTCAGCTGTAACCCGACCTCCTCTGCTTGCCCAGGGCTAGGTAAAATTTGAAGGTGGGGATATTTACATAATGCCTGGGGAGGGGGGCTCCTGTCTTGCCCTCCAGTAGGCTGCGCTTAGGTGTGGTCATTGTGTCACCCCTCCCGTGCCGTGCCTGAGGGAACGGAGCCATTCTGCTGTTGCCTCTCTCTAGTGGACACACAGCCCTGCTGGACCCAGGCCCTTTCTGACCTCATGCAGTAAATCGCTCTTTCCCCCTCCCATCGATTTGTTGTTTTCTCGGGTTCTGGCACCTGTGGTAGGTCTCTGTCCAGGTCTCACCAGTGCCTCTGAACTCTGTACTTCCCCACTGTCTTTCCCCAGCCTAGATCCTCTTGTCTAGGCTTTGAGAGCGGAGGTGAGGTGGGAGAAACAGCGGCCTCGCCTTGTCTCTCTGTTGCAGGGCTAGCGTTCTCTCCATTCTCCAGTTCTCCTTTGGAACTCACGGCCATGGAGACTGTCACTGTGTTCTCTACCTTGTGATGTCTTCTCCCTGGACGGTGGACACAGTGGGCACTGCTGGTTTGGGTTGAGGAGATGGGAGAAAAGATAAGGGGGAAAAAACCCCTAAAAATGAAAAAACAGCATTTCAAAAATGTTATCTCTACCAAATTATCTCAAGGATTAAGTAAAAACTTATTTAAAGGGCTTACCAAAGTGTCTGACTTGCAGCAAGGGCTAGTAGTTGCAGTTGGGTAGTGTTATTCATACTAATCATAAAAATAAACTATGAACTGGAATCTGTTAGACCTCAAGATCTAGGGTCTACCTTAACTGTATTCAGGGAGGTGCAACAAATTTTTCTGATTTCAAGTTACTCTTGTGGAGGTGATGAACTTTCTATCTGCTTCTTATTTGTTCCCAAACTTTGTTAATCTAGTTTCCCAAATCTCGGTATCTGGCAATTTGAGTTTGATTCTCTTTGCCATTGCCTCAGTGTGCCTTGCTTATTCTGGTAAATTACCTTTCATTCATCAAAACAAGATAAAAACAAGGCAGAATGTTAGCAGCATAGAGGCCACAAGTATGAATGAGATTAAAAGCACATTGGCGTTTCCAGAAAGTCTGTGATATGATACCACTACGCGTTTAGCAGATCTGTTTACTGCGGTCACCCATAGCAAGTCTCATTGGGTCTTCATGTGGTAAATCATTATTATTTTGTTCCTTCAGTAAATTGTTGAGCACCTCCTATGGACTGGAACCTGTTGGAGCATCAGGAATGTTGTGGGACACACACGGGGGTGGGGTCAGTGGGGGTGGGGAGACTGGTGACATGGGTTGGTAAAAGAATTACCAGAGACGAGAAAAGTTTTAATAGGGACGCTGCTAGAGGCACCAGCGGGCCACACCAGCCAGAGGTGCCTACATAAGTCCCGATGGCTCTGCATGCAGGGTCTTTTCCTTGGGGGAGGAGGCTGTGCACACAGGGAATGGGGGCTGCGTGATCAATTTGTGCACAGGTACCTGATTGGTTGTAAGATCTGTTAGGGACCTCTCTGAACAATAGATTTTACAACTTTGATAAGTGCAGGATGTGAGGCCTGTCCGCCTAGGGTATTTTGAGGCTGTATCTTGGGGCGGTTTAGCTGTGTTAGGGTAAATATACATCTAGGGAAGACGTTTTATGTCTTGCAGAAATGCAGGTATGCGGAGGGTCCTACAGTGGGGAGTGGGGATTAAGGTGTCAGTGGCTCCAGGCACACAGAGAACCCAGGAGTGGGGGTTTTATGACTCCAGACGGTGCCAGTGGGCTCCACAAGGAATACAGCATTAAAGAAAATCATTTTAAATCTTTGCTCTCAGACACAAGTCCCTGCTCATGGACCTTGCATTCTAGTGGAAGAGATGGCAATAAATATGGTCAGTAAGGAGAAAAACACAGCAGGGAAAGGAGAACTTGTTAAGGGGTGTGTGCGAGCACACACAGTGTTAGGTGAGGTGGCCAGGGAAGCCGCTGGGAAGGTGACCCTCAAGTCCAGACCAGAGGAAAGGCTCTGGAGGGAGCCCTGAGTCCCTCAGGTCACAGAGGGTGTGGTGATGGTAAGGGCAATGGCATTTTTTCTAGGGAGGTATGGAGCCACTGGAGAGTTTTCCACAGACCTAGAACAATTGACTTCTTTTTTCTTTAGTTTCTTCCTTTTTTCCTTTCTTTCTTTCCTTCTTTTTGGCCAAAGCTAACTGCAGGGAGTTAATGCTCCATTCACTTTTATATTGGATTTAGGTCTTATTTTATCCCTTCTTGAAACTAAATTGATTTTATCTAATTAAAGTCATCCTAGGAAAATCCAAGTACTTAAGCCAATCAGTGCACAAAAGGATCAGTAGATTATCCTTTTATATATGTATGTGGAATATCCCAATCCAGTCATTTGAAAATAATTTTTAAATGAAATTTAAAGCATCTCCAGCATACTGAACTTCAGATTCTATCTGATAGAAAATTTCACATCATGTCTCCTGGATATACTGAAGGTAAATACATACACCAGCCAGACCGTGTTTGGTTTGGGTGTCATCGTCCTATTGACTTGACTGGTGTTCCCTTGGACAGGAAGTAAAATAGTTCCAGACTGGCAGGTTTTAAGCAGATATAAAAATATTTATAACCAATTACAACCGACTGCATTCCTTTCCTAATTGGAATCACTGCTTGCTAAAGCAGTTTCTTATGTAAACTTTCTGAAGTCTCAGCGGTTTTGAGAACAGCAGTGTAAGAAAGCAGCTGGGACACTGAGAATTGGGTCAGAATGTTCTCATGGGCTTAGAAGAAATGGTTCATCCTGGCTTAGGATTTTGAGATTCAGTGAATCTTTATTCTTTTCCTGGTTCCATTAAGTGGGGTGGGGTTTATTTGGGTATGAAATACATTGAAATTTCATATTATTTGTGCTTAAAAACTCTATGTCTGAGTTTTTAAGATATTATCTAAAGCATTTGGCATAAGTCAATATTTTTTATTTTAACTTTTATTTATAAAAATTCCAAACATAGGCAAAAGAATAGGACAATAAACCCACTGTGTACCCAGCATGTCCCCAGCCTCAACAGTTACTAGCTGCTGGCCACTTTTGTTTCCTCTAGCCTTCCTCCTGCATTTTCGTGTTTCTTCACTATTTTGGAGCAAATTCCAGACATTTTATTTCACGAAATATTTCAGTATATACCTCACGAAATAAGACTTTTTAAAAACACTTAACAATCCCTGTTACCATACTTTAAAAATAAATCCTTAATATCTTGAAATATTCAGTCTGATCATATGCAGTGTAAACATATTCGTAAATTAGTAGTTCGATATATTTCTGTGGCTTGATGTGCCTTAAGGTAAGGACAGTGCCATCTAGTTGAGCTAGATGCTTAGGTGACGCTGTTTAAAACGATTATTACTTGGCATTTGTATAAATCTGCCAGTGTTAATTTAAAACGAATTTTGCCGTAGGTAGTGTGACTACAGTTAACATACACAAAGGTTTTAGAATGTGTGTTTGTTACTTTCCTCTTGTCAACTCCACACTTAACAAAATCCTCAGAGACAAGGCCTTTCTGTGCAGTTTAGGTGGTGCCGGCAATAGGAGGATGCTGACAACCGGAGCTGAGAGCAGGATTCAGTGTGTATTTATCAGAGGTGGGAGAGGCCTGGCCTGGCCGCTAGCCTCCAGGTTGTACCTGCAGTTGGTTTAAAAGCTGATGAAAATGAAGATTGAAAAAGAAATGCTAACCATCTTATTTTAACTTAAAATACACAAATATATGTGTATTTACCAATCCTTTGATAGAAAGCCAAGGTCTGTTCTTTGAGAATGTACCTCTGTGGTGCTAAGTGATCCATCTTGTATAATATAATGCATTGCATATGGTTTCCACTGTTAATGTCTTTTAAAGAGCTTAAATAATTTAAAAATAATTTCAAAGTATTGTGAATACAAAATCTTAGATTTAAAAAAATTATTTCCCATTTGTCTTAACTGTTGACTATGCTTACTTTGAAAGTAAGCTTTTTAGCAACTTATTTTTTATCAAGGCTTCTCAAAATATTCAACTTAATTTTCTTAGAAATAATTACTCTTTTTTCATACTCTTTTAATATTTTTATTGAAGTATAGTCAGTTTACAATGTTGTGTCAATTTCTGGTGTACAGCATAATACTTCAGTCACATAGGAACATACATGTATTCGTTTTCATATTCTTTTTCACCATAGGTTACTACAAGATAGTGAATATAGTTCCCTGTGCTGTACAGTATAAACTTGTTGTTTATCTATTTTATGTATATTAGTTAGTATCTGCGAATCTAGAACTCCCAATTTATCCCTTCCCACCCCCTTCCCCCACTGGTAACCATATGTTTGTTTTCTATGTCTTGTTTTTTTCACACTCCTGTTTCATTAGTTTATGTAATAATTCAATTGCTTAGCTACAACAGTAACTATAGCCTCATCTCCTGGGGTCAGAACTTCCCCTGTATGTTAGGGAATAGCCTGCTAAATGCAAGGGTTTGTTCAGTGTGCCGTATGTTTTATATAGAACACAGAGCATGTCAGTAAATCTGGTAAACTGATCATGGAATATAGGCTGCATGATTCACTCTTGTTAGTGAGTCATATTGTTGAGATCTGTAGCTGATTACCTGGGACTGCTTAGGTTAGGGTATGGTTCTTGTGGCCCCATCAGGCTTTGAGGAGAACTGATGGTGTGTGATGAATTTCCATTTGTGCCTTACTATTTTAACTTGATCAGCTGCCGTTATCAGTATCCTAGTGCTGTATCATGATTTAAACAATTATCAGAAGTGCTTTTGTAACAGTTTCAGTGAAAATGAATGTTGGACAATTACCTAAAAAAATAACAAAATGTAGTTTACAGAAGTAACTTATCATTTTCTATTTTACAGAAGAAAATGGTATCTTAGCTTTTTAAATTTAGAGGATCTTACAAGTATGGGGAACTTAATAGTTATAGTGTCTGCATTAATCTTTACTTTTACCCTAGAAGTAAGGGAAGACTTTGGAAAGAATACATTCTGCTGGTGGTGATGGGACATCATCTCATCTTTCTTGCTATTTCAATTTAGCCTATGTTCAGTGCTATTTATAATTTGCAGCTTAAGTAGCTAGGTTTACTAGAGAGGATATAAAAGAAGTAATCATAGCTTCTGTTCTTGGGTCTCTCATGGTTTTAGTACTTAAAAAAAAACTATAAAGACCACATTCAATGGGAAAATAAAAGATACTGGTCAAATCATTAAGGTTCAGAGCACCCTCCCCGTGCCTCTCTCTGATCTGCCCCCTCCCAGCCCACAGAGCAGGTGCTGCTCTAATACTTGTGCGCCCCCTTTACTGCACCAAGTTCTGGGGTAACTAGCGTTCTCTCCCACGGACCTTGGAGGGCAGTGGCTCTTCCTTGTGGTCATATCCTTGTGGGGTGTTCAGTAGGTGAGTTTTTGAGTAAGAGCGGAGCCGTCTGGGTGGACTGGAAAGGACAGTCCTGGGTTGCAGCCCCAGCTCACTACCCTGCGCTCCGTGACCGTGGGCGCATTAACACCCTGGGCTGTGGCCGCTCATATGCCGGAGCGTGTCCAGGCTAGTCCCAGTGGAAAGGCTTGTCCTCCTCTGCCCAAACACTAATTACACCACTGCTGAGAAACACTGGCCTAATCAGGCCTGGATAGTCCTGAGAGCTGGGCATGGGGTACCTTACCTGACTCACAAGAGGGAGAGATGAAAACCTGAAGGAAGAGCTGGGGGGAGTTGTACCCAGTAAAGAGCATGAAAGCTGTGAGTATGCCACAGCGTTGTTGCCAGTGGTGTCTGACGGCATGAGAGCAGGGAGTTGATCTGGTACGGGGGTTAGTATTGTGGAGTCGGAGGTGGGGTTAGATTTTTAGGATGGAGTCAGATTATGGAGCATCTCGAAGTCCAGGGAAATGAATCTGAACTTGATCCTAGGGAACAGGGAGTCATTAGGATGTTTTGATACAGGACTTGATGCCTCTTTTATCAAGAGAGCAACAGGATAACTGACTTCCCAGAAGATGTAAAGCAGAGAACTGGGTTTAAACTCAAGTTCTTCCATTTGATGGGCATCCTGCCTCAAGACAGGTTACTTGATGTATGTAACTGATACGAGCTGCTGTTCCTCCTGGAAAACTGAGTAATACCATCATTGAGTGTTGTTTTGAAAATTAAGAAAGGACATCCGTGAAGTGCCTCCTGCCTAGAAACTCATAGCTAGTCCCACTTCACTTTTTCTCATCCGCTTGGTTTTTTCTCTTTTTGTAGTGGTTTTTCGTTTGCAGGAAGGACCAACTAGAAAGAGAGAAGAGGATGCTGCACAACCAAACCTGGTCAGAGGCATATTTCCTGCGTCATAGAAGGTGTCTGGTTTGGACCCACTAAGGGGCTTTTCTAGCTTCTCCATCTTTGCACGTGGTGACTCCCGCTTCTGAATTTTTCCCGTCTCTGTCACTGTTTAGTCTGAATCTCTTCATTTAATTAAGCATGATTCATTCTTCCATTTTTGGTGTAATAAACATTGTTAGCTCTTCAAATTATATTGTATTTCATTAACTTAACTCTCTCTGGCAGTCTTACTTTATTTACTATATCTTTTTAACTTTACACATGTGATAAGATAAAAACCAGCTGTAGTTCTGTGGTGAGTTTTAGAGAAATTGCTCTAAAGAGGAACCACTGATAAAAATAAAACATAGTTAAGAGTGCTGGCTTCCATCCAGGTGTCAGTTTGAAGCAGACACCCATATTCCTCATGTAACCCAGTTGTATGGGTATTTATGTAGGTGACATTGAGGAGAAACATCATTTTGAGTAGTTTATTTTAACTTAAATTCTTTAAATAGGCCCAAGGGACTTGGAGGTCATCTTGTCACTTTTCATGTGTGAAAAGTGAGACCTATTCAAGTGTCCAATGTCTTTTACCTTGTCCAGTAAATACATGGTATGATGGAGACCCTGAGTCAGTAAGAAAAGACTTTTCGTCATGAATTATACTTTCAGGGTAGTCTTCTTAAAACCAGGAAAATGTGTCATGCTTATAAAAGAAGAACTGTGAAGTATATATTCTTCAGGAGTTTTCTAACTTAATAGAATGTTTTAAATTTTATCCATGTTGGTTATTGTACTTTTAGAACAGAGATGGCGAGCAGGAGGGGTCTGGAAGGACTGAGGCCATGTGCAAACTGCACTGATAGATTAGTCCTTCCTGCCGTGGGCCCGGGATAATACATTCCACAGCTTCTGTTCTGGTTTTAGCAGTGCTTAATTCCTCTAGCTTACTTGCAGTATATTTTATTCATAGGCTATATAAATAATATCCCCTGATTTCTACTGAATGCTAGTTTATTTGCATAGATATAAGAGAGAAGCCCTGCTAAAAACAAGGTGTTAATTTTTAAATCTTTCTCTTTTCATTATTTTTTTTAAATTGAAGTACAGTTGGTTATAATGTGTCCATTTCTAGCGTACAGTGCAATGTCCCAGTCATGCATATACATACACATATTCATTAAATCTGCTGTTTAAATTTGCCTTTGTGTTTGTTTGACCCCTGACTTGTGTTTTCACACTCAGCTTTACACCGCACTTTACGCGGGCCTTTGCACTGGCTGCTCTCTCCTGCATACCTGGCCTTGCGTCCTCCCCCACAAGCTAGGTCCCTCATTCACAGGTCTCAGCTCAGAGGACACCTCCTCAAAGTGACCTTCCCCGACTACCCGACAGTAGCCCTCCGCCACTGTCACAGCCCCTAACCAGGCTCTTGAACGGCGCCGGCCGCCGCCTGCAGTTACCTTGTGTGTTGAGTAGCTGCCTCCTCCTCCTGAAACAAACACTTGGGAGGGAAGGTAGGCCCCCTGATGCGTTTCAGCACTGGGTCCACCTGGAACGGGGCCTGGCAGGAGTAACTGCCTGTTACACGTCTGTCGATAAGAGGAATGCTTTGTGGTAAATGGATTAATCATTCATTCATTTAACAAATACGCATGTGATGTTTACTGTGTCAGAGACTGTGCTGAACAAGACCGAGTAGAGAACACACCACAGGTAAACAAGCAAAAATAACACCATGTGAATACAGTGACACTGTGGACAGCTTTTCTTAAAATTTAAATTTCTTAGAGATACTAAGAGAAGGCATTGGTCAAAGGAGTGTTTGGCGTTGAGGGAGGATTTTTTTTATTTTTAAAGATGTGACGGACGTGAGTAGTTTAAAGGCTGATGAGAAGGAGAGAGCAGAGAAGTTAAAAATCACAGACCAGTTAGAAAGCGGAGCTGGCCGTGAGCGTCCCAGGGTGTGTATCTTAGAGTTCTTAGTGCCTCCCCGTAGGCCTACTTTGTTCTTAATTGCTGTATCACTGTTTACTTGAGCTGTTTCTGGGATGCAGTTAAGACTTCTCAGAAACAGTGTGATCCTTTTGAGGCTTGCTTTTGAGTTTTGTAAGGTGAGGTCAGATCAGCCTTTAGGTAGGGCTGTTTTCTCCACACTGCCCAGGGGGGTGCCTGTGTGAATGATCCCCTCTGGCCCGTGTGTTCCACCGAGGCTGGTGGGAACAGCAGCTCCAGGTGAGCTTTCAGATCGTCCCTCCTGCTCGTTCTGCTGGTCCTTCCTGCGCCCTTGGGCAGCTTTATTGTGTTTTTGTCCTGATCAGTTCTCAGTGGGAGACTCAGAGGGAGGGTTCAGAATAGTCTCTGTAGCTCTTCTGTCTCCCACACTCTGCCCTGTGAGCACTCACCTCTCAGGCCCCTCCCAGTTCCCATCGGGGCTCCACAGTGCGAGACTGACAGCCTTTGCCCGGGGCTCCCCTCCCTGTAGGGCAGTTCCTGGGCTCCCCTCGTTTTCCCCCTCTCTCAAGAATTAGTGTCCTGCTGCCTGAAAACTGTTATTTCATAGGTTTTGGTCAGTGTTTGAGTTGCTGAAAGTTGGAGAGTAAATCCAGTACCTGGTGTACTGTTTTTCTCAAGTTGAAGTTTGCCCACTATTTATTATGAACTTTTTGTCTACTTTCTAAAGTATATTTTGTTAAGTTGGCCTCTTTCCGGTACCAGTTATCGTCAGAAAAAAGGGCCCCGGTATCCTCCTGCCCTCTTCACTGCTCACCCTTTCCTGTCTCTTGGAAGGTAGTTTTATAGTGACATCTCCCTGCCTGCTTCTTCCACACACATCCAGTCAACTCGTGCAGACGTTCAGAGATCCTGAATCTTGGTTCTGTTAGGTGGATATTTGATGCAATCACCCAGCCGGCTGGCAGAGCGATTCAGTCCTGGTGAGGAGTCTGCATCCACCTCTTTCCTGACTGCCTCTCCTGAATCGACGTGAGCTGGAGCCCCAGCAGCAGTACTGCCATACCTTCTTACTTTCAAGTCTTCTTTCTCTTTATACTTAAAGTGCATTTTTTATCGATAGCATATAGTCACGGTCTTGTTTTTTATCAAGTCAACAATCTGTCTTTTAATTGGCATGTTTAGACTGTTTACATTTAATATAGTAATTGATTTGATTTGGTTCAAGTGTACCTTCCTGCTGTTTGTTTTTTATTTGCTGCATCTATCCTATGTGCCATTTTTTCCTTTTCCTGCCTTCTTTTAGATTATTTAATAGTGTTCCTTTTTATCATTACCACTGGCTTATTCTATATACATGCATAGGTGTTTCTTTTTTTTCTTCTTCTTTCTGTGATTGCCCTCAGGTTTACAGCATGCATTGGTATCTTAACACATTCTAACCTCAAATAATATGACAGCACTTCACATATAAGAACTCTGTAATGGTATACTTCTATATTTCCCTCCTGTCCTTTGTGCTATTTTTTGTTGTACATTTTATTTCTCAGTATTATAAAACCCACAATACACTGTTTTTCTTGTTTCAAGAGACAGTTATCTTTTTTAAAAAACAGCTTTATTGAGATACAATTCACATAGTCATTTTTAAAATTTTTATTTATTATTTCTTTACTTGTCTCTTCTGTTTGTGGGGGAGGTAAATAGATTTTATTTTTTAACGGAGATACTGGGAACTGAACTCAGGACTTCGTGCATGCTAGGCACACACTCTACCATTGAGCTACACTTTTCCCCCTAATTATCTTTTTAAAGTCAGTTATTGCTTAGGGAAATTAAACAATGAGGATTTTTTTTTATATGGCCCACATATCATTTCTGATGCTCTTCTTTCTTTTGTGTAGATTCAGGTTTTTGCCTAGTATTTCCTTCTGGTTAAAGAGCTTCTTTAACATTTCTTATAGTGTCAGTTTGCTGGTGACAAATTCAGCTTTTGTTTATCTGAAAATGTCTTTATATCACCATTATTTTTGAAGGCTGTTTTTGCTGGACATAGAATTCTAGGTTGACAGTGTTTGTTATTTTTCAGAGCTTTAAAGATGGATTTTGACTTGTATTGTTTCTGATGAGAAGTCTAAAGTCATTCTTTATCCCAAATTACATGTATCTAGTCCCTCCCCACTCTGTTCTGGCTGCTTTTAAGATACTTCTTGTTATCACCCATGTTCTGCAGTTTCATTACAGTTACCTCTGTAGTTGTTTCGTGTTTTTCTTTTGTGAAATTTATTCCGCTTCTTGGATCTGTGGGTTATGATTTTCATGAAACTGGAAACATTCTGCCGTTCTTTTTTCTGTTCTGTCTCCCTGTGCTTCTGGGATTGCAGCTGCATGTATGTTAGGCTGCTTGTCACTGTCTCCCAGGTCACTAAGGCTCTACCCGTGTTTTCAGACCATTTTCTTTTTGCTAATAGTTTCTGTTGCTATATCTTCAAGTCACTGATCATTTCTTCTGGACTGTCTTAATCATCTGTTAAGCCCATGCAGTAAATTCTTTTCATTTGAGAAATTATATTTTACAGCTCTAGTCATTCTACTCGGTTCTTTTTTTAACATCCATTTTTCTCTTTGTTATGATCATGTGTTCCTTTAAGTCCCTGAACATATTTATAATAGTTATTCTTAAGTGTCTGCCAATTTTATTGTGTCTGTCTTTTCTTGGTTTGTTTCTATTGACTTATATTTTTGTCCTGGGTTATATTTTTTTTTTGTTTCTTGGCTTGTCTATTAATTTTCTATTGATACTAGACATTGTGTTGGCATGTTGCTGAGTGTCTGGATTTTGTTGTCTCCCTTTAAAAGGTGTTTAATGTGTTTTGGTAGGCAGTTAAGCTACTTAGGAATCAGTTTAATTCTTTCAAGGCTAATTTGTAAGTTTTGTTAAGGTGGGTCCAGTAGCCTTATCCTGAGGTGCATTCAGCCCTAGCCCAACCCTCATGGGGTCTGTACATATGAATGCTTTGGGTGTATTTAGTGGAGTTTCCCCACTCTGGCTAGTCAGAACTCTAATGTCTTGCAGCTCTGCCTGACCTCTGAGAATTTTTTTCAGCCTGTAGCTCTCCTGGAATTCTTTGCTTGGCCTTAAAGCGGTTTACCTGATTATGTGCAGTTTAGTATTTATCAACAGACTCAAAGGAGACCTCTGCACAGGTTTCTCAAGCTTTTTCTCTGAGTAGCTCCATTGGTTGTTTGTCCTCAGATTTCAGCCGCCTTCAGCTCCTAGAATTCTGGTCTCTGTCTCTTCAGCTCAGCAGGATCTGCGCTTTATGCTTGGGGCTCTGCTTGGCTGCTTCTCCTGGCATTTGGGTCAGAAAGTACCACCAGGCAGAAAGCTGGGGCCATCCCAGGGCTCATCTTCTGTTCCCTTTCTTTGATTTCACTCTCCTGTGCTGTCCTTCTGCCCAGTACCTGTAAACTGTTGTTTTATGTATTTTGCCCAATTTTCTAACTCTGTGGTAACAGCATGTCAATACCAGTTACTCCATTGTGGCTTTCTGCTGTTTGTTGTTGATTAATTTAGCTATTTTAACTACTAGATTTTGATGTATCGCTTATTCATTTAATGTTCTAGTCTTTCTCTTCTCATTTTATTTGATCTGTACTATATATAGCCTTTTTATTTATTTATTTATTTTTACTTAATTTTATTTATTTATTTTTAACTTTTTTTAATTGAGTTATAGTCATTTTGCAATGTTGTGTCAAATTCCAGTGTAGAGCACAATTTTTCAGTTATATATGAACATACATATATTCATTATCACATTTTTTTTTTGTTGTGAGCTACCACAAGATCTTGTATATATTTCCCTGTGCTATACAGTATAATCTTTTTTATCTATTCTACATATGCCTGTCAGTATCTACAAATTTTGAACTCCCAGTCTGTCCCTTCCTACCCTCCTCCCCCTTGGCAACCACAAGTTTGTATTCTATGTCTATGAGTCTGTTTCTGTTTTGTATTTATGTTCTTTTTTTAGATTCCACGTATGAGCGATCTCATATGGTATTTTTCTTTCTCTTTCTGGCTTACTTCACTTAGAATGACATTCTCCAGGAACATCCAAGTGGTTGCAAATGGCTTTATGTTGTCGGTTTTTATGGCTGAGTAGTATTCCATTGTATAAATGTACCACAGCTTCTCTGTCCGGTCATCTGTTGATGGACATTTAGGCTGTTTCCATGTCTTGGCTATTGTAAATAGTGCCGCTTATATAGTCTTTTTTGGTTCCACCTTTTAATGGTTTTATTTTACGAGGCCCTCAGTTGATTCAGGCTACACCAGGAAAATGGTGAAGTTTGAGGGCACAAGTTTATTTTTTGCCATTTCACATATATTCAGTGTTTCAGTTTATCCACAAGTTCTCCAAAAAGCAATAAAGACTGAACTATAGGTTGGATCCCCTTTTCTGTACCTTTCCCCAGCACACAAGTGAACTTTCTGAGATTCTTTGAATTGTTTGAGAAATATGGATTTCGGGGAGAGTTCAGTCCGAGTAAGGAACTTAAAGCACTGAGTATAATAGAATATTTTGATAGATTCCTTTGTGAGGATTCTCTTAACTTTCATGAGCTAATGTGTTTTTTCCTAAATGGAATTGTTGGAGTACTCCCTACAAAGTCGCAGTGTGGTAAAGAGCTAAATTGTACTTTCCAGTAAAAGGGACTAATAGCTAAAGCAGGAATTTGTTTTATGGAACAGTTTAATCTTTCAACCTAATAAGGGAAATAAATATTTTAAGGTACTTTGTGCCACTTTGGAAACTATGCTAAGTTTGTCTTAAAGAGCTGGATGAAAATGGTAAAAATCCTTAACATATGGTCTCTGGCTGTCAATTTTTGTTTGTGGCCTTAAAGTGCTAAAAATAAAGTTTTGTCATTCTTTGTTTTTCAAATCATGATGTGTTTCAGGTGCCTTTCTTTAAGTGAGCAGAGTATATTTGGGACAAGTTCATTCACAATTTCTCCCCCAAAAATCCCTTTGGGATTTTGGATGAAACTGCACTATATTTATAAATAGAAATCTTTATGGTGTTTTACCTTTGTTCTGAGGAACATGGTGTGATGTATTAATAAGATGGCCTTCAATAAGTTTCTTCATGCTTTTGATCATCGCTTCTGCATTGTAATTTTTTGTTGTTGTTGTTGCTGTTTGGAATAACTCCCAATTTTATGTATGTGTGTGACTTTTTTCTTTACAGAGAAACTATTGATTTTTGCCAGTTTATTTCAAAATTGGTCTCCTGGTTAAATTTTATTATTCTAATATTTTTTCAGATGTTTGGGGTTGAGGGACCCCTGTGGACCACCGTCAGCATTGCTGGATCAGCCCTACCCACATAACACATGCTACACATTGTGGGGTGGGGGTGTTTCTGGTTGACCCCCTACCCCGACCGCCAGGGAGTCTGGTTCTGGTACAGCCTAGTGAGGTAGCAGGCTCCAGAAACACCTTTTGTGGGAATAAGCAACCCAGTGCTCAGCTCTTTCCTTGAACCCTCAGGCTGTTCTAGAGCTCTTGGTGGGCTGGAAAGAAGACATAGTTAGGCAACAATTTTGAGCACATGCAGGATGTAGATGTAATGTTCAGAAAGACCAAAGGTCATGGTAGCTAACATTTATTGGGCCCTTTGTGCTAGTCACTGTTCTAAGCACTTTATATTTTTTACTTCATTTATCATTTGTGTCACGAGGCACATGCTTTTAGCCTTATCATATTCTTGAGGAATTTGAGACAGACTTTAAGGAATCCAGCTAAGTTTACAAGGCTGGTGAAATGGTAGGATGGGGAGTTGAACCCACATGGTCTGGCTTCAGAGCCAACTGGTGATCGCTGTGTTGCCAATGATTACATTTCATTCCCCTTTTGGGGGGATGGGGGAATGAAAAACACATTGAGTATTGAACACAGTGTGGTGAGCGTGGTGTGGACAGACACTGTTGCTGGGAGCACACACATTTTCTACCTGTTGTCTCTGAGGTTTGGGACTTGGGGTACTGTTTGCTTTTAAACTTTTATCTTTTTTTCTGCAATGCATATGCAATTTTATAATCAGGAAGGACAGTAAAGCTATTTTAACTTGGAGTGGGGTCAGGCCGCTTTCTCAACCACAGCTAAGTTAAGTTTTCCTGTGCTTTGCCCTAGAGGTTGAGTAATTGATTGAGTACCTTGCAGCTGTGATAGAGAACACGGTAGATGGGCTGATAGGAAGAGCCCTACGATTGAATAAAACATGAAATGTAAAGGAATATGTCTAATATGGTTCTAGTCGGGGGTGTGTTTGTGTGTGTGTGTGCAAATGCATGTGTCAAATGCATCACATTTTGAAAGGCACTTGCAAATCTGTTACCACTTGTGCCTTTTGGCGAGAATAGTATTTTCTAATTTTTCCTTTTTTAATTTCATTGTATTATTTTTATTGTTGTTGTAAAAGTGCCTTTATGTGTAGGTATATATACAGTGAGAATAACAGCACTGAGTGAGAACTCCAGGAATGTGTAGACTTTAATACAGATTCTGATTGCCTTCCAATCATTTTTTGAATTAAACT